ACCCAAGTGTACACACAGAGCACTAGCTCCTCTCCCACACCCTGTTCCTTCCTGTCTGACATGGGTGAGGTCAGTCAAACTCAGTGAGATGTTTGGACTTAGCTAAAGGAGAGTTGCAGCTGACTTTGGGATCACTATCTCTTCTTCCTCCTAAGCAGTTCAGAGCTGTCTTCTGGGTGTTTGTTGTAGATAACTCCTGCCAACACAGCTTTGCACTGGTGTGTCTGCTCCCAGCCCAATGTAACAACAGGGTGAACACACTGAAGAAACTTAACACACCTGCCCCAGACTGTGGGTTGGATGGCAAAATAATAAAGAATGATCTTTATCTTGGATCTCTGGTTTCCAAGAAGAGAAAGCCATGGGGTTTGCACGCGGAGCAAAGGGGCTCTAAATCAGTGCTCACTGGCCAAGGGAGGCTGGTGGGGCAGGAACCTTCACAGAAGAGACTCAGGACCCTGAATGGAAAGAACAGCCTACAAAAAGCACGTGCTAGGAATAGAAGAAGGGATAGGTAAAGTGTCTGTAACCAGAGAAAGGCAATCTAGAAAAATAAATTATTTCCAAGATCAGAAAGTGACAACAACCACAAACAGAAGTATGACCTAGAAAGTGGAAATAGAAAAGCTGACCAAGCACCTGAAGCATCCAGAGGGTGAGGGGCTGCGGAAGGGGTGAGGACAAAGAGGGACGCAATGGACTACGGTGGGGAACATGGGGTGATTTGGTGGCGGGTGCACTACAGTGGTGATAACTGTGGGAGAAATCCTACACTTCAAAAATAACAATAATGTAAGCCAACACTGTTATGTCAATAATTATATAAAAAATGTAATAAGGGGGGGGGGCCTCCCTGAAAGCACAGCACTGAGAAGCTTAAGCCACTGCAGCCCAAGTTCGATCCCTGGTCCCAGAGGTGACCACATGGCCCAGCAGACCTCTCCTGACCCGCCCGCTGCTCCCCTCAGCAGTGTACTTCATCAGTCAGCTTGTTCTGCTCCCCACTCTCTCTGGTGAATCCTCTCACCGCCCCTGCACCTCTGGCCTGTACCCCAGTTCTGTATGCACAAATAAATAAATCTTAAAAAAAAAAAAAGTAATAAGGGGAATGGTTCTGTAAATTACAGTGTATCCACAGAGTAGAATTAGATAAGATGATCCAAAATGACATCTAAAGTTATGCAAATAAAAGCACTGCATATTTTGTGAGGCTTAAAAGATTACAAAACAGTATCTATTTTGAGTTGCAATTGAGTTGTAAAAAGACGTACACACACACCTCTGGAAATATAATACCAGTGCTTCTCAAATAAATGTCAATGTGCATACAAATCTGCCTATTAACCAAATCTATGGGTCTGGTTAAAATTCAGATTTTAATCCAGTAGGTCTGGAGGGGAGACCAGCGGGTCTGAAACCTCCTTTGCCAACTAGCACACAAGAGAACTGCTGGCCCTGGCGTCACACTCAGCAGCCGGACACACAGGGGCGTTCGCAGGGACCCTTAGTGGTGATGAGACCTAGTTCTCTCCTTCCCTTAACTTACATCTGTTTTCTAATTAATTTAGGTTTAAAAAAGAAAATTGCTGGTCATGCTTTGTCTTATGCTGTGAAAAGCTAAAATTTATTCATTTTAAAAATGAGGGGTAAAGTGATACAAACCAAGAGGTCAGGGGAGAAGCCACTATAAAATTCAAGCAGAGGGAGAAACAAGCACATTAAGGACAGAGTGGTGGGATGAAGAAAGAGAGGGGCACCTTGGTTCCAAGTGTGTAAGAGAATTCTGGGGCCTGTGGATGTAAGGCAGAAGTGTTAGAACGTGGGGTATAAACCATCATACTTTACATGGGAAGAAAAAAAGAGAACTGATATGACAGGTGTGGCCATGGGCTGCCCAGCAGTGAGGGGCCTTGTGGGGGGCACATGGAGTCCAGCTGGGTCCACGTACCTCGGGGACTAAGAGGCTTGGGACCAGGACTGATCCCGCCTTCTCCAGTTTGAAGGACATTCTTTATGGGAAATGAGGAGTAACACATGGGCACTATGAAAAAGCAAATAGAAACTTTTGGAAAGGCAGGGTATAGTCTCTTAACCCCCGACTATGTTAGTGTTGGAAGACTCTCAGGAATTTAAGCATGAGGGAGCCTCAAGATTATGTGCTGAGCTGAGAAGCTGGACTCCCCATCTTCTGGGGCTTAGATAGAGTGCACACCCCCAAGTCTGCCTAGAGATGAGGCACTTCTTGCCTACAAATGTGCAGTCTGGCTCAGAACCCTGAAAAGGCACCGCTGTCCTTGGTGGTGACAGTAGTGAATGGTCAGAGTCCCACCATTGGCATAACACACTGACAAGCCACAGACGTGACAAGGCACTGTCAGTACAGACAGAACCCATAGAATTCTAAATGGTTGATTCTCCACCTTGTGCTGGGCTGGCCTGAGACTTCAGACAAAGGGAACAGGTGTCCTTTATTAGTAGTTTCTATCAATGCATTTACACCACCAACATTTAGTACGGATACTAAAATCATAAAGTGATATTCACATCAACAAACTCACAAACCAAAGGGGAAAGCGTAGCCCTGGTGGGGAGTTACCCATCCAGAGAGAGGGTGCTGCCCTCTGCTGGACATAAGGGAAGGAAATGGAAGCCCAGGGCTCAGAGACGCCTGGCTACCTCCAAGACCACATAATGGGGAGAACACCAGAACTTACAGAATAGTCAGTGGATAAAAGGGGACATCATTTCTGTGTGTGTGTGTGTGTGTGTGTGTGTGTGTGTTTAAATGCAGTGTTTAACGGGGGGAAGTACTAAATGCCACTTAGAACAACGGCCTGGCGCTGGCTCTTCTTTCTGACCACCGTTTCAAGTGCTTTCCCCTATGTCTGTTTATCCTCTATGGGTCACTCTTCCACTCACTGAGAAATGTGAAGCACTTTCTGCCAAAACCTAGTTAGGAAGCTGCTGGACCTGGGATGACAGGTTTGAAGTACTGGCTCATTCTGGGAGGGACCTGTGAGGTGACATGGCTCGCCTCCTGCTTCCCCGGCCATCCTGGGTCTTCTCACGCTCTCATTCTTCACCATTTGACGGGGCTGTTCTCAAATAAGACTTACATACGTGATCCAACCCAGTTGCACCTTCCACTCTCCCTCAATTTATTCTTTTGTTTAAAGACTGATTTATTTATGCATACAAGAACTGGGGTATAAGCCCAGGAGGGTGAAGGGATTAGGGACTCACCAGGGACAGAGTGGGGAGCAGAACAGGGAAATCAACTGAAACACACTGCTGAGGGGGAGCAGCAGGAGGGTCGGGTGGTTTGCTGGGCCATGTGGGTCACCTACCTGGCTGGGGGTCAAACTCGTGCAGCAGTGGCTGAGGAGAGCCTTACAGCGCTGTGCTTTAGCCCCGTGTGCCACCAGGGAGGGCTCTCTTAATTTATTCTTCAGCTCCCTTCCACAATATTATCTAAGCTTCTCTGACTTTAGTACTTAGAAAGTCTTAGGATAAAGTTTGGGGCATGTAGCGTGCTCACTACTCTTAGCTCTAACACCATTTCTTTTCAAAAACTGTACTATTTAGTTCTGGCAGTCCAGAACTTGTTCACCAAGTGAACAGATCTCAAATAGCTTCGATGTTTTGTCTGACTGTTCAGCCTCTATTTCCACACTGAAAAGTCCTAGGCTTTCTTCAGTCTACGTATGTGTGCAGGTCACCCTGTTCTCTGATCAGTTTAAGCGTGTGATGGCTCAGTTCTGGCTTAGAGGAGTGAGAGTCGTGCTAGGGAGTGAACTCAGGCCTGCTGTACCCAGTGCCCCCTTAAAGCACCGTGATCTTTCTGAGCCCAGCTGAGGAGCTGTCTAAATGGTGGTTTGTAGAAAGGGACATACACTTCTATCCATGATGTTCCAACACCCAAGCCTAGCTTTTTAAGTACAGTGCCTAAAAAATATCTTGACTGCTTTTTAATTTTTTAAGTATGATCACTTCTTCACTTTATTAAACTGCGTACACCAGTAATAGTGCAATGACATAAATATCTACTTGATCTGCCTGGTTTCCCGGCATGGAAGCACTCACAACTCTTGGCACTCCTGAGTGACAGGAATGAGAGGGGCATCGTTTGCTGCCCAGCTGTATCTGAGGGTGCGCTACGAGGTGCCCGTCGGCGGCTGGGGCTGGCTGCCAGAGGAACCAACCATGACATTAGAGGGCACTCGGCCGCCGCCTATCCGCCCTCAGGGAGCAGGGCCACAGCTCTAGTCCTGAGCCCAGCAGGGGCCACACTAGGGGTCACTGAATTGCTCACAGTCTATTCCCACCTGTGTGCCACGCTGCACCGGCTTGATTTCCTCAGCCACACTGCTTCCCGACTCTAAGAGTGTTGGTGCTTCCCCAGAGGTTACTGATCGTAGTGTAAACCCTCCCACTGGCCATCAAAACCCCAACAGTTGGGTCCTTGTGGACCTGGCAAGCCAATCCTTCACCCTGCGTCCACCTCTCTTTCCATCCTCAGTCACACCTGCTCACACGCTGCTGCAAAACCGAGACCTTTGCTCGGGTTCCTCCTCCTGCCTGGAACTCCTTTTCCTCCATGCCTGACCATAGGGTTCAGAACCTCTGATTCTAGTCCCTACAAAAAGTTCTTGGGAGCATCCTCAACTCTCTCTCTACTTATCACAATCAGAAAAGGTGGGCAGGAGGGGAGCAATCCCTGCAGAGACAGCCAAGGTGAGCGCTAGGTGCCTGTGGGTACAGAGAGCCCTTGTGGATGTCCCCCACAGTACAGTGCAAGACTCCCTCCAGCGGGTGCAGGGTTTGTGGGTACAGAGAGCCCTCGCGGACGTTCACAGTACAGTACAGAGCGCGCATGACTCCCTCCAGCGCCCACAGAGCACTATGAAGGCCCATCTCTGCTTCCAGCACAGGAGCCCAGGAGACAGCGGGTCTGAGTGGAGGAGAGGGAGGACGCTGCCGTGAGAGCTTCGCATACTTACGGTTTCCACAGTTAAGACCGCCAAGGCCGAATGGGCAACTGCAAGCCAACAGAGAAAAGAACAAAGATTGGTCTCAAATGTTCAAGAAATAACAGACAATTTACCTAGTCAGGCAAATAAAGTTTATAGACTTCATCAGAATCAGTGAGCGTGGAGCCTACCTCCTGCAGGTCTCATTTTCCAGCCTGTACCCGTCTTCACATGCTAAAGGAGAAAAGAAGAGGCCATGAAGCAGTCTGCGAACCTCCCCTGGCCCAAACACAGTCACTGAGAACCGCCCTGAGGTTGACAGCAATCTAGACGCAAAGGCTACCAAGAGCTTTAGAGCTATCTGCCACGCGGCCCAAATACTGTCGCCAGTTCAACTGCATGTCATCAAGGATATCTTCTTTTTTTTATTTTTTCTTCTGACTTTTTTTTTT